GCCTCCACAAACTTGAGGAGAATTGAACTCTTTTGCCTATTGATAATTTTCAACGGTATCTGTTAAGGCAGACATATTCATGTCCAACCTTGAAAGAACAAATTTAAATGGTGTAATCGACGAAAGAACTTCTGAATGTCGATATGCTCAAAACACATTTGTAGTGAGCAACAATGAAACTCATGCTTCCTACCTACTCAGATTATTCAACGACGCACATACAATTATTGAATTTACTATGGAACATGAAAGTGATGGAAAGTTCCACTTCCTCGACGTTGCCATGCAACACCTAGAAGATGTTAGTCTTCAAAGGTCAATTTACTGAAAGCCTACTCGGAAAGAACATTACCTACATTTTAATAGTTCTTGTCTAAACAGCTTTAAACGTGGACTAGTCAAGACTATACACTGTAGAGGTAGGAGATTATGCTCTATAGAGAAATTAGAGGAAGAATTTATGTTTCTGGAAAAGATGTTGAAAAGCAATGGTTACCCTCAAAGATTCATCAACAAGTACGGAAGATCTGAAGTCACAAATGTCAAGCAAATCACAGTGAAGAAAAAGCCCATCTACATTCAACTTGATTATAAAAGTGAAATCATTGCAGTAATGGTCTACATAAGACTGAGTAGTACGTCGAACGATCTTGCGATGTCCACCTCATGATCCGTGTCAAGAAGATAACTAGTGGTAATTGCACTGTTTAAAGCATTTGTTCCCTTTAGACATAAACTTTTTGGTACATATTCAGAAAATCATAGAAATGCCCTTCTTTCTATCCTTCCAATGTAACTGCTCCCGCAGATATATATCTGTAAATTAGTATATACACAGTTGGAGTTAACATGAGAAGGATATCTATCGATTTTTGATTGCACCAAAGAGAAGTTGTCCGATATTTACATTATACCGTAGCTTGAAAATCAATTAATGTAATACGACGACGCTCTTATCAAAAGTAAACGAACTGACACGATAACTCATTTTAAAAAAAATTTCTTTCTTTAACGCCTATAACTCAAGACAAGCAGGTTTATTATTTGTGTGTGTGTGTGTGTGTGTTATCAACGCATAACGCTATAAAATCATTTGAACATAAAAGAAAACAACAAACAAATAAAAATACACTATAACATTTGAAGTGAATCACGAGTAAATTTAGTTAGGTATACTGTCATTATAGTCAAATGACAACAGTAGAAAGACAGTTCTTTTAAACCACATGATAATCAGAGCATGACAGCTATGCATATATACATATGAGTCAATAGACTTTAATACACCAGTCTTTCAATGGGATAATTCACCTGACATAGACACACGCACACTCTTTCTCTCTCTATCCCTAATAGTTTATCGTATTAAATTTATCACGAGATAAACGACAAGTTCCTTGACTTGATTAAAATACACTTTTAAATTAGATAATGGGCTTCAGAAGAATAGTTTAACTTACCTTTATCACTAGAGGAATAAATCTAGGGCTTGCAGCTTACTCTCTCTCTCTGCTTCAGAAATAGACGACTACGGAATATAGACCGGCGTGAAATATTTGCAACATGTGTTTTAGTATGCACTGGCCTGTTAAGTTGAATTATCTATTATTGTAGGGAGTAAATTTATTTCATTATTAATAGGCTAACGATTCTTTAAAAATTCCCTTTATTATTATTCAAGTGTTGGTTTGTAGGGATTTGATTGGTTACAGGATTTCATCATGATCTGACATCTGTTAGATAACCATTGGAAAACCTAGGAGTACTCGACAGCTGTTTCAGCCTAGTTTAGTTATCATCGGCAGGACGCACCCACCAACAAGGGTTTCAACCCAGCATCTACCGGTGACAAGGCAAGCTCGTAAACCATTCATCAGCCACTGGGACCCGATTCAATGGCCAGCCAGTCCATGAATTCTAACTTCTACCAATTTGTGAATTTTACCGTGACCGCAACCAGTGTCATCGGTGGGAAATCCATCCTCACTTCCCGACTGGATGGACCTCATTGGTCACAACTTCTCACTAGAACTCACTGCAGGTAACTCCGTCCTGTAGCAAGTCACTAGCGAGCATCAGATTAATTTTCAAGAGTTGTTTTGTAAGGATTCGAACCCCCCCCTTGTGGTGGATGTGTAATGCAGATGATTCCCGAAACTAGGATGAAACGGCTGTCCAGTGCTCTCTGCTGGTTTTCGATGGTTCTCTAAGAGATATCAATCCGTGGGCAAACTCATGAAAAATAAATCTAATCCTTACAAACCACAACTATTGAAAAATAATCGGGTAAATGTTTTGAACGTCACTAATAACGATGATTACAATGATGATGCTACAATAATTATTTATTTATTTTTCTGATTATAGCTTGATTCCACACAGTACTTTTTAGTACAAGTATGTAATTTTCGGTATGTGATATCGGTAGCCGAAATCTTGCAGACCGACCATTGATATCAGGTGTGCGTTGGCAAGATATAGAACCCCCAACCATATGCATGGTCGGCGAGCGTCCTAACAGCTTTACCACCGATGCACGTGACGGTAAGAATAACGAAGGTAGTAATATTGTGGTGAGAGCTACCTACAAGCCAAAGTTGTAAACAAACAATTTTACTTCAATGTTCACGTCTCGAATCGGGATCATGAGAAGAAACAAGAACAAAGCTTAACCTTGAAGAACTCAACAACCAATCACAGCAGACTTAGCGTGGGTGGATACGATTCGCAGATATATCAACGGACTGTCTAAGAAATGGCAACAAAGAGATGACAGAATTAACCTTCAGCAAGACAACAAACAATCAGAAGACGTTGCTTCTCTGCTAACAATAATGCTAATAATAATGAACATAAAAATCTATAAACATCTTTTGATTTTCTCATTAAACCATCTATTGCCTGGCCCTTGTCTTCTATCGTTACAATATGTGTATATGTAGACAATTCAATAAATAAATAAGGTTAGACCTTAAAAGTTGCGCAATACTGAATGTGAAACAGACAGATAATCAGAGTTTAAATAAATATCATAAAAATATGTAGGAAATGGGAAATAAGAAAGGATGGGAGGGTTTTAATTAGACATTATCTACTAAGCCAAGGGAGAGACAACGGTAGAATTTTCTTTTGTATGCAAAGAATGCGATTGTTCTCTCGAATTCCCATAGCCTCGGGTATGTGTAAAAGACGGATTCGAATTCCATTCAAAAGGTTCAATGGAATGCGATAGATAACTTTGAAGACACTTCTTCTGTCCACTTGGTGACTGCTATCAATTAAATTAGCCAGAATACAACTTCTTATAGATTTTAATTGGCCTTTTCTGAACCATGAAGCAAGATGCTCATTAACACGTTTGTTAAGCTGTCTAGTTGTTCGCCCTATATAGCTTTCTCAAAAGGAGCAGCTAAATTTGTAGATACACATAGAAGTGGTACAGTTAGGTAGCTTGTCTTTCACTTGAGCAATCATAATTGGTCGGCTGGAAATTGACAAACAAAGTTGGCGGCTGTATAAGTCCATTTTATTACCCTCGATAATCTTATGTGTAGCGCTTCACTAGCCACAATTGATTATTTGTGTATTATTATTCCCTCAGATCCCGAGTTGAACATAAGGTTTCAGCAACGCATCTCTTAATCACTTTGTTCTCTTTTAGCTGGCTCCATGATCACCCCTTCCTCACACAATCTTCTCCATGTCACTGTCGGACACAAGTCCAACTCGCCGTCCGTCCCTTTGGGTCCCACTCTATAGTTTGGAGAGTGAGTGTCATCTGTCCTCAATTTCTTCGACATATTTATTGGCTTGAGGCTAGTAACACCTCATCCTATGAAAGACAAGCATCACTGCTACTAAGACTTTAAAGCTCAACATTTGAAGCTCTATGTTCCACTCGGAAGGCAAAGGAATTACATAATAATGATAATGCCGAAGACACACGGAGATATAAAGAAACTTCATGAAGTGGTAGACTTATATGAAGGAGATTATTCGAGGTCTACTTGATAAGTCTGCCCTAAGACAGACCATTACACAAAACAATTATTTCTGCTTTAGTCAGCAAAATTTAACAGAATCTTTAGCCCCGAAATTGTGATACAACATAAACATGTACCTGTTCAATCGGCTGTGGTATCTCCCTCTGCCTACAACATCATCAACTAAACATCCATCACCATGTCTGTCTGTTTTCGACATAGAATTTTGCACCGATGTGCAGAAGTCCAACTCACCACACTCCCTCCATGTACCACATAAAGCAACAGAAGAAATGCATAATGCAGACAGTAAACAGAGGTGTGAGACAAAAGGAATAGTAATAACGAAGGAGAATATAGTTTCATTGGAAATTATAAGTCACAGGAGTGGATGCATCGGCACCACCCATTGAGAACGATTTTGAGCCAGATCACCAATTGTCTCCAGCGATTGCCATTGGCTTTTACCGTCCCGAGGACCCTAACCAGCCAGTTAGAAAGTCTACACCTACCTACGTGACTGGCTGGCTTAAACTAACTGTTGTGGATTTCACTGACTGACGAAGCCATGTTTTGATTCGACCACCACTGGCTCTTCTCCAACGTGATCAATCCTATGTCAGTTAACATTACTCTTCGGTCGAGGAAGGCGATGGTTAGGGATGCATGTATAACACATGTCCTAACCATCTCAGTCGATGTAGCTATTCCACAACCTCATCGATTGATTTCTCCTCCCACCTACCTACCACTCTACCGAAGCCTAACCTCGATATCGCTCACCCTATTATACCACTTCACACGGGAGATAGAACGCAGGCACCTATGATCAAAGACAACTAACCAGGCTTTTCATGTCTTCCACTCTCAATGGCCAGGTCTCACAGCCTGCCATAAAGGAGGACGGAGCGGACTGATGAGCAGTAGACCCGCACTTCCAAAAGCACACGCAGCCTTCCTGAGCATCCATCACCATACTTTCATTCAATCAAATTGCATGAATTTTAACCAATCAAGTGAAGTAAGTGCCCAACACCATTAAACATGTATTTGTAATAACCATTTAATCCCTTCTTCATCAATAAAATAAGATAAAATAATACAACAAAAGGCATATTCTTTTTCAAGGCAAATATCAAAAGTTGTACAAAGAACAAATAAGAGCAAAATACAAACAATACAAAAAAAACACTAGGAAAGTAATTTATCACAGTACCGACATTCACAGATCACAACCATTTAATTTGTTGATGAAAGGCAACCAGTGTGTGTGTGTGTTTATTTATGAGATCAGACAACAGCCAACTGATGATTGTTAGATATTCATGAAGTCTTCTTCACCAACTGTATAGAATTCAACCAATAAAGAACCTTTCATTCGCTGAAATCTTTCCTCTTTTGTATCTTTGCCAAACAATGCTACCTCTTGTAGACTTCGATTAGCTAATTCTGCATCTGTGAAACTATGCCGTCCAAGGAATACATCAAACCAATAGTATGTTTATCCATGATCTGTAATAGTAATAATAATAAGTAATGGTTTAAGTAGGAGGATATATCTGAAGAGAAGAAATGTCAACTCAATATCGAAACGTATATTCATGCATTTCGATATAAGTATAAAACTTGGGCACTGTCGTAGAGTATAACTCCATTATGGATAAGATTTTATTTTGATACGTCACACAGTGTGTTATGCAGTAATATTAACTGATGACCACGTTTCGAGCACAAACTATTGCTCATAATCACAACAAGTTGATATGATTATGAGCAATAGTTTGTGCTCGAAACGTGGTCATCAGTTGATATTACTGTATAACACAGTGTGTGACGTATCAAAATAAAATCTTATCTATAAAGGAGTTATTCATGCATTTCACACAGCAAAGAAAGCAAAAAAAGAACATGTATGCAGGATAATCCAAGCTAGTTTTATTGCATGGATTCTTTTCAACTCCGCGTGAACAACACTTACCAGCAAGGCACTCTACTCGAACTCATGCAGCCAGCCAGGTGAGGGCTTACGGCGAGTTGTCATTTGAAGTGGTGACGACTAGTGGTGTCCGTCAGGATGCGCTGCCCACTATCCCCATTTCTATTCAATTTCATCATAGATGTACTAATGGAATTAACACTAACTCACTTCAGAGGCTCAAGAATTGACTTGACTTAGAATATCCACGCGGATGATATAGTCCTTCTAGGCGAGAACGCTGACAAAATAGAGCAGTCTTCTGAACACATTGAGCTGCAATCTACGAATTTTTGGCATGCGATTCGATCCTGCTGTAAAATGTAAGATGAAGTTACAGGACTGGACTACACTGACTCCTAGCTTAGAAATAGACAGAAGTGAAGTGGTAGAGCACGTTGACCGCTTCACTTACTAGGGAAGTACCATCAGCCAACGCCAACGGGTTGATCTCTGACGAAATCTCAACCCAGATAAAGAGTGCTAGTTTCGCATATGCAAGTTTACGCCATCTCTTGCGTATACGTGATATCCGGCTGGCTATCAACCAAAGGGCGGGTGTACTGCTCATCAGTCCGCTCCGTCCTCCTTTATGGCAGGCTGTGAGACCTGGCCATTGAGAGTGGAAGACATGAAAAGCCTGGTTAGTTGTCTTTGATCATAGGTGCCTGCGTTCTATCTCCCGTGTGAAGTGGTATAATAGGGTGAGCGATATCGAGGTTAGGCTTCGGTAGAGTGGTAGGTAGGTGGGAGGAGAAATCAATCGATGAGGTTGTGGAATAGCTACATCGACTGAGATGGTTAGGACATGTGTTATACATGCATCCCTAACCATCGCCTTCCTCGACCGAAGAGTAATGTTAACTGACATAGGATTGATCACGTTGGAGAAGAGCCAGTGGTGGTCGAATCAAAACATGGCTTCGTCAGTCAGTGAAATCCACAACAGTTAGTTTAAGCCAGCCAGTCACGTAGGTAGGTGTAGACTTTCTAACTGGCTGGTTAGGGTCCTCGGGACGGTAAAAGCCAATGGCAATCGCTGGAGACAATTGGTGATCTGGCTCAAAATCGTTCTCAATGGGTGGTGCCGATGCATCCACTCCCTGTGACTTATAATTTCCAATGAAACTATATTCTCCTTCGTTATTACTATTCCTTTTGTCTCACACCTCTGTTTACTGTCTGCATTATGCATTTCTTCTACTTTCTTCTGTTGCTTTATGTGGTACATGGAGGGAGTGTGGTGAGTTGGACTTCTGCACATCGGTGCAAAATTCTATGTCGAAAACAGACAGAGAGACAGCATGGTTGTCAAGAAGAGAATGTAGAACAACAACAACAACTCAATTTTGGAGTATATTATTACATTTAGTCATGCAGCACATTAACAGGGACTTACTTCTTTTAGAACGATAAAGTCGTTGGAAAGGATTTCGGCTACAACTTCTTCATCCAACCGAAGCCTTAGCAATTGTTTGCAAGGAAAAAGCTTGAATTTTGTGTTCACAAACACTGTTTCCAGCCACTTTTCTTATCTGTGTGTGACCTTAGTACTAAATTGTTCCCATTTTTGTTTCCCCTGAATCACTGTACAATAAAGCTGCATGTTATCCGTCTTTCATTATCTCCATAGATTTTGAGGCCTATTTTCAATCCTTTGTTCTCTTTTGTTTATGATTAACTATTTTCAAAACGGTTATTCATTACCTAACTAAATTATTTGTCAACTCAATTAATTACGCAAGATTATTCTCAACTTTTCAAACATTTTTTGTTATGCATGCACTTTGATTTACTTTGTTACTAATTGACAATAACCTTTGACCTCTGTTGTCGATCCACATTGCATAGATGGACACCCCTGAAATGAAGTGACGAAAAAAAGAGCTTTTTGCTGATTCATGTCTTCTTAAGTTACACATTTAAACTATTAGTTAGTTTAGTTTACTTCGGCTATCTCCTACGGGAGGATGAGCCGGCTTCATTAACTATGAAGTTTCATGGGAATTGGGTACGAGTGATGTCCCCAGCATCGCTCGGCCTTTGTTTGAGAGTTCAGCTCTAGCCTTTACACAACCCACTGTGACCTACAAGGCAGTAGGAGTGGAGTAGGGAGTCCACTATCCATTGGCAGCCGGTGACCGGAGTCCGGTTCATTCGCCTTTTTGAATGGGGCCAGTCATCCAGGGCATCCAATAAGCCCTTTGTCCATACGTCTGCCGGTGAGCTTCATACGCCAGTCGTTGGAGGTTTGGAATCAGGGTTTAGCCATCTCCCCTAGACTGTCATCCAATGGACAATCAACCCGGTGAAGAGCGCCGGGCATCCGCTTTTGCCCTCTCACTTTGGTGAAAAACACCTCCGCCACGTGAAGGCAGTGAGTAGGACTTCCTCAGGAGAGGCTATGTAAGACGCCCGGTCATATGGGAGCATTTCAAGAGGTGTACGGAGGGGTGGCCAACCCGCAGCGCAAGACACCCACCCCCGACCATCCTGAGGCTTTGGACTATTACTGTCTTGTGTGTGTTTGCACTTGGTTCTGTTGCGCAACACATCCACTTATTCAAGTATCGGTTTGTAGGGATTTGATTGATTGGTTACAGGACTTCATCATGAGCTGACAACAGTTAGAGAACCATAGGGAAACCTGCAGGGAGTACTGGATAGCTGTATCATCTTAGTTTGGGACTTGAATATCGATGAGATGCTCACTGGCGACTTGCCATATTCAGGTATGTAGAGTTACCTGGGTTGTAGTGGAAAGTCGTGACCAGTAGGGTGCAGCAGGTCGGGTGTGAGGACAAATACTTGCCACGGATAACATTGGCCAGAGGTAGCGCTATGTCGTGAATCGGCTGACGTTAGAATTCATAGGCTGGCCATTGGATCGGGTCTCAGTGGCTTAATGGTCTATGAGCTCACCTTGTAACCAGAAGGTCCGGGGTTCGAACGCTTGTTGGTGGGTGCGTACTGATGAAGAATCTCACACAGGGACGAAACAGCTGTCCAGGACTCTTTGCATGTTTTCCAATAATTCTCTAACTAATGTCAACTTTTAATGAAATCCTGTAGCACATCCACTTATGTTTGATTGGCAAAGTTAAACTATCACAACCAAAACTGCAGTGACCATGATCAACCAATCCAAATTCGGATGCAATAAAGTCGCATAATTATTGAAAGATGCACTAAAAGCATTACAAAAATGATACTATAGTTGTGGCTGATATGTTTTAAGAATGTCTCTCGGTCGATACACAGATGATCTATAGAGAAATCGTACCATGTGCGATATACCCATTCATCCAGGTGACTGTAGGTCATGGTACTTTGAGATCTATTGATATTTCCGACACTATTCTTCGACCTAATTCTTATTTTAACCCTACACCTTAATCTTAAAAGCCACAACCCTACCAAACAGTAAAGATTTGCGGAAGAAAAAGAATACTGTATCTATTCTCTCCAAGTCCATAAAGGTAGGCATGATTCAATTTTGAATGATCGTTCATAGCATTCCCCGTATCTGATTGCTTCTTGAAGGTTAAATTTTGAAAGACCTTGGCTTTGGCTATGATACTTTACGAGTTGATCACGAATCGATATCAGTTGGAGAATCATTGAAAACCAGTAGAGAGTATTGGGCAGCTGTTTCAGCCTACTTTAGTAATCCCCGACCGAAAGCTGCTACCTTGACGTGGTGGTCGGGCTTGAACACCGCAATGACCTAATCAAGCTATACTGGCTGAGACTTATGTCTCTTGAGGTTCTACCATGCCAGGCAGGTTGTTTGGATAGCGGTTAAACAAAAAGCAGCTACCCAATCCAACATCATGTCCAATACAAAATTACAAAATTTCATGCCGGATCGGCCGTGGCCCGGATTAACAACGACCGCGCTTCCTGCTGCCGTGTCACAGGGCGGGAGTGATAAATCTGCTACTGAGACACACCAAACAAAAAAGAACAAACAAAAACAGGCCGCGTGTGACCGGCCTCAAGCAGTTGTCCCCTGGGCTCTGCGGTCACGCAACCAACTTCCACGGTGTGGGCAGCCGGGAAGTAACAATCGCCCTCACAATCCGAAATGCACACGAAACCTCTCTATTACTCACTCATCTTTGTCTTCATCTTCATCTCTATCATCTTGCCTTCCTTCCACTGATGCAACTCCTCGACTTGATAGCTCTCCACTTCCTCTCCACTCTGCGTCCACTAAAAACGATGGAAGCCAAAAAACCACCACCGACAGCCTCTTAAAGCCGCGCCACCAATTTCATATAGGAGCTCTTAATGTTAGGACACTTTGCCAAATAGGACAACAAGCATCACTAGCCAAGACCCTGGCATCACGAGCCATTGATGTATGCTGTGTTTCAGAAACACGCATACAAGACCCAAGTGTGGTTATTCACCTAACCCCACCTGGCCAACAGGTTGAATCTGCAAAATTCACCTTGAGGGTGTCAGGAGATGCCACAGCTAGTTCACGAGGATTAGCTGGCGTAGGGATAGCTTTGAGTACTAGGGCAGAAAAGACATTGCTTGACTGGATCCCGGTAGATAGCCGAATGTGTGCTGTCCGCCTGAACGGATCAGTAAGAAGGAGGAAGGACTGCACTACTCGCCGATGCCTTTTCGTAATCTCCGCCTACGCCCCCACTGACTGCAGTTCAGATGAAACGAAGGATGAGTTCTACCAAAAGCTGTCTAGTTTGGTGGAAAGGCTAAACGCTCAGACATAGTCGTTCTAGCTGGTGACTTTAACGCTCAAGTAGGGAAATTGTGTCAATCTGAGAAGGATGTCGGTGGCACCTATGGAGCTCCGTGCCAGCGAACCGACAACGGTGACCGTCTCCTACAGTTCTGCTCTGATAATCATTTGTTTCTTGTAAGCACTAACTTTAAACACAAGGAGAGACACTGTTTGACTTGGAGACCCCCTTCATCAAACCAACGCTGGACACAAATAGACCACATAGCAATAAGCTATCGTTGGCGTGGGTCGGTAGGAGATTGTCGCTCCTTCTGGAACACGTGCGTAGATACCGACCATGCACTGGTCCGCGCTCGGGTGTGCTTACGACTGAACGGACGTAGGAAACAGCTGGCGGTAAAACCATCACGTCCCCAGCTCGATCAGGAAACTAAATCCGTATTTCAGGAAGAACTAGCTAAACACATATCTGTGTTCGACAGCTGTGCTCACCCTGAAGAAGCTTGGAAAAATATCCAGGCAGCCATAGATACAGCTGTAAAAGCTGTGAATAAGGTAAACCCAAAGGTGAGTAAAAACCACTGGATCTCCACCGCCTCATCCGAACTGATAGATGCTAGAAGACTTATTCCGGCGAGCTCCGAATTCAATGAGGAGCGAAAGCTGCACAAGAGGAAACTTACGAAAAGTCTCCGCAAGGACCGTGAACAGTGGTGGGCGACAAAAGCCAAAGAGATGGAGAAAGCTTTGAGGATAGGCAACACCAGGCAACTCTTTGGACTCATCAGGGAAACGGGTGGGAGAAGACAAATCATTAGTGAGACAATCTCGGAAAAAAATGGCACTATAATTAGCTCCAGGATAGACGACTGGATCGTTGGAAAGAGCATTATGAGGAGCAGTTTAATTTGCCCACAGCCACGCTCAACCTTCCGAGCATCCAACACCTCCCTGAATGGGATATAGACACAGGTCCTCCGTCACTAACTGAGGTTACTAAAGCTGTCACCAATCTGAAACTAGGCAAAGCAGCGGGACCTGATGGAATGACTCCAGAGGTATTTAAGTACGGTGGAGACAGCTTACTGTCCGGATTAACTGAGGTACTAGGCAGCGTCTGGGAATCAGAAGAAGTCCCATCGGGTTGGTGTAAGTCACTGATTATCCCCATATACAAGAAGGGAGACAAGTCTTCCTGTGATAATCACAGAGGGATTAGCTTGACTAATATAGTATCTAAAGTCTTAGGCTCAATAATCATGCGTAGACTGAGTGGTGCTCGGGAAGCACAAACACGAGAGAGCCAGGCAGGCTTTAGACCAGGAAGAGGGTGTATTGATCATATCTTCACCCTCCGACAGATTCTAGAACATAGGCATTCCTACCGGCGTCCAACAGTCATTATATTTCTTGACCTAAAGGCAGCATTCGACTCTGTCGATCGGGAAGTTCTCTGGAGATGCTTGGCTGTAAAGGGAATTCCAAGAAAATATATTGCACTGATTAAGGCACTCTATTCGTACTCATACAGCCAGGTGAGGGCTTACGGCGAGCTGTCATCTGAACTGATGACGACCAGTGGTGTCCGTCAAGGATGCCCATTATCTCCTTTTCTATTCAACTTCATCATAGATGTGTTAATGGACTTAACCCTAGGTGACTTCAGCGACTCAGGGATTGACTTGCTACCGGGGAATAATCTCGTTGACTTGGAATATGCAGACGATATAGTCCTTCTAGGCGAAGACGCTGACGAAATGCAGAGTCTTCTAAACACCTTGAGCCGCAATCTACGAATGTTTGGCATGCGATTCGCTCCCGCCAAATGCAAGATGATGTTACAGGACTGGACTACATCGACGCCTAGTTTAAAAATAGGAAGTGAAGTGGTAGAGCACGTTGACCGCTTCACTTATTTGGGAAGTACCATCAGCCCCAACGGGCTGATCTCTGACGAAATCTCAGCACGAATACAAGGGGCTCGTTTCGCATTTGTTAGTTTACGCCGACTCTGGCGTAGACGAGATGTTCGACTATCGACCAAAGGGCGGGTGTACTGCTCATCAGTCCGCTCCGTCCTCCTTTATGGTTGTGAGACCTGGCCACTGAGAGTGGAAGACATGAAAAGACTAGCTGTCTTTGAT